GGAGTTGCTTATGGTGTTGCAACCTGAATGATCATAGCAACCCACACCCCCACCCTGCCCCCTGCCCACTTGGAGGCTTTCTGCTCTGTTCCTTTGATCCCTGATCACTCAGTCCTAGCTCACTGCCACCTGTTTGACTGGGCAGTGAGAAATGCCGTAGGCTGGCCCCCATCCATTCATCCCCGAAGCCCTCACCTCCCTCTTTCTGATCCTTGGCTGCAGGTGAAAACCTGGTTCCAGAACCGAAGGATGAAGCTGAAGAGATGTCAGAAGCATGGCCTGTGGGCAGAGCGGGCTCAGAGTCTCATGCAGGTAAAGACCTAACATCAAGGGATAAACCTAGTGGCATATTCATTCAGACTCCCTTTACCCCTTTCTGGCCTGGAACAGAACAGTAGTCCATCAGATGGGGTGTTCTACCTCTGCCACGCTCCAGCACAATATAGATCTGCCTTTTCTGCGTCCAGCTGTTCTGTTCATTCAGCCCAAAGTCTCCAGTCATACCAGGAGGCATAAATGGCACCTAATTCGATCTCTTACATCCAGTACAATACCATGTGACAAGAAGCAATGGTGTGTCTGGTGTAGGGTTTCTTCTTCTGTGCTACTGACTCAAAATAAGGAGGAGCCAGGTCCTGATACCATTGTGCCAGTGGCTTGGATTAGTTGTTCAGAAGGAGACCTGTTTCTCCTATAAGGCACCTCTTTGTCCAGTGCTATGCAATAAGGAGGGGAAAAATTCTTGCTGTCCCCTCCTGCCCAGAGAGGGTGACCAGAATACAGCCTGAAGAATCACAGTTGATAGTCCTGCTACAGGTCAGTCCTGGGAATGCCAGGGAAGCTGTCCTTTGTTTTGACTCACCTTCCCTCTCTTTCAGAATGGGTTCCACCCCAGTGGCTACCTGGAAATGCACCCCAAATTCCATCAGGGCTACCCAATCAGCACGGCTGGAAACATCCAAGCGATGGGCACCTCACGTCAGAACTATGGGCCCAGCCAGAATTCATATGCATTTGTAGCCAGCGATGACGGGGGAGTCTTCAGCAAAGCTGGGGGTGCCTGCAGTGTCCAACAGACAGTGGGGTTCATTGCCCAGCACAAAGTAGACTTTTATCATGGCTTCCCTGGAACTGTGGAATACACTGGCACAAAGACAGGAGATGGCTATAGCTTCCACCATGCCTCTGCTGCTGTGACTTCTTTCCCAGGCACCTCTGGGCACCATCTATATCATACCTAAATGGGACGGATGCAGAAGATCTAAGCAACTGAGACTCAGCTTCCTTTTCTCTTCCTTTCTTTGTACCTCTTGTGCTCTCTCTGTGTGGCGGTAGCTCTACAGCTGTGTACCTTTCTTACAACCAGACACTCTCACTTATGCCTACGTACAGACTCCCACAAGCTCATTTACAAAAACCAGTGTGCATCTACCCATAACCATCTGCAAACTTGCATGTATTTCCTGTGCAGCAAGTTGAGAGGTTTACTTAAAAGACACAGCCCAGCTCAACCAGAAGTGGTGGGTTTGATGCAGGAATTGTTGGGCAGTTATATCATTTTCCCTTCTTGTTCTTGGTTTACTGCATCTCGGTGATGAAGCCAAGGGATCCAAGATGCTTCTAATATGGCAAACAAAATAAAAGGGGATTATTATTTAATTTTATTTCAGTTTTGCTCCCTGGCTGAAGTATTTTGATTTGTCTGTATTTAGCACATCTGAACAAAGAGCAGGCTATTGTAACTTGGAAAATTATACTGTAGAAAGAGTAACCAACCATGCCTGCCATATTCCATTATTATGGATTTGTATCCCAGGGTCACTGGAAGGAGTGTCCCATGAGCTCTAATACCAATTCAGCTCCACTGATGTTGGAAACACTGGGAACCTTAATGTAAGTGGGCCAAAGGTAACTGCAACATTTTATGAACCTCTTCATTTAGGTCTGCACTACACAACATTAGATGATGCATGAACCAGGTTTAGATATAAATATGCTCCAGATGCTTCAGGACGGTTTCAAAGGGAGTTTAATAATTCAGTAGGATTTCAGTGGAAATTTTATACCTAAAAGTATCTTTGATCAGGGCCCCAGCTGTTGGAGTCATGTGATATACATCTATTTCATATTCATATATCTATTTGGTGCATGTGCGTATTTGGTAATGGAACTCCTCAACTTTAAGTGGAACTTTTTAGCTCTCACAGTTGCAAAGCAAAGCTTTGAAACATGACCTGAATTGAAGTTGTAATGTTGCCTGCCTGAGTCTTCCCCCAACAACAAAAAAGAAGCTCTAGGATGTCACCTGCCTCATTCATCTCAGTCTTCCCTTGTTCTAAACTAGGATGACACTGGTAAAACGGGTGGAGCTCAGGGAGGGGATGTTAGGGTATGGTTGCATCCTCCTTTGATTCCCCTCATCCATTCCTGCCACCTGTGGGACCCAAGAGACCCAGATTCTGCTAGAGCTGGGATGCCCAGGCCCTCTCCCTGAGTGGGGCAGGCAGGCAGAGGCACCTATGACACCCAGCCTACACTTTGATTGCACCTTCCTTTTCAAACTCCTAGATCCATTGTTGGGAGCAGCTGATCTACCCTGGGGCTCCCCATATGTTTGAAACAAATGGACCTAAGCCAGTGTTGCTCCATTTGTGATCTTCACATACACCATGTGGTATTTCATAGATTTCATAGACATCAGGGCTGGAAGGGACCTCGGAAGATCATCGAGTCCAGCCCCCTGCCCAAAGGGCAGGAAGTCAGCTGGGGTCATAGGATCCCAGCAAGATAAGCATCCAGTTTCATCTTGAAGGTGTTCAATGAAGGCGCTTGAACCACCTCCGGTGGCAGGCTGTTCCAGACCTTGGGGGCTCGGACAGTAAAGAAGTTCTTCCTTATGTCCAGCCTGAAATGATCTTGAAGTAGTTTGTGACCATTCGACCTCGTCATCCCTTGGGGTGCTCTGGTGAACAAACGTTCCCCCAGATGCTGGTGGTCACCCCTGATAAACTTGTAGGTGGCCATCAGATCACCCCTGAGCCTGCACGTTTTCAGGCTAAAGAGCCCCAGGGCTCTCAGCCTGTCATCGTAGGGTCTGCTTCCCTGACCTCTGATCATGCGCGTGGCTCTTCTCTGGACTCTCTCAAGCTTCTCCACATCCTTTTTGAATTGTGGAGCCCAAAACTGGACACAGTACTCCAGCTGCAGCCTTACTAAGGCCGAGTACAGGGGGAGAATGACGTCCCGGGATTTGCTTGAGAAGCATCTATGGATGCAAGCCAGCGTTTTGGTCGCTTTACTAGCCGCCGCATCGCATTGCAGGCTCATGTTCATCTTGTGGTCAATGATGACCCCCAAGTCTCTTTCTTGCATAGTGCTAGCCAACATAGCACTGCCGAGCCTATAAGGATGCTGCGGGTTTTTTTTCCCAAGGTGGAGAACCTTGCATTCATCGGCGTTGAACACCATCAGATTCTCGTCTGCCCACTTGCTGAGCCTGTCCAGGTCAGCCTGGATAACCTGCCTGTCTTCTGGTGTGGATGCTTTGCCCCAGAGGTTGGTGTCATCGGCGAGGCGAACTTGGCCAGTCCGCTTCTGACTCCAGTGTCCACATCATTAATGAAGATGTTGAACAGTATGGGTCCAAGGACAGAGCCTTGGGGGACCCCACTGGTCACAGGACACCACGATGAGTGACTTCCATCGATTACTACCCTCTGGGTCCGACCCAGGAGCCAATTTTCCAGCCAGCGGATCGTGGAGGACCCAAGGCGATTGTTCTCTTTACCAAAGACAACAAAGATTGTTGTCTTTGGCGATTGTTCTCTTTACCAAAGACAACAAAGATTGTTGTCTTTGGTAAAACACCAGTTCCTGGAGCCTTGTGATCACTGGAGAAATCTGCTTTTATTTTCTTTAAGAAAGGTTCTAGACTGTGTGATTGCAAAGGAAGCTCAGAAAACTGTCCTGAGCATGGCTGAGGGGTTCAGTAACCAGAGGGCAAAGTAAAGAAATGTCCCATCAGGAAAAGAAAAATCTTGTTATTAAAGTTACTCCCATGGCTTGGGGAATGTGAGCCCCGATGCGAGACTGCTGGGGCTGGCAAAGTTGGGGCTAGCAAGACCAGGACAAGAGGGAACAGAAATGTTGAGTGCAAAGCTAACTCCCCTGCTCCACTTAAGGCTTCCCAGTCCATGTTAGCTGTGATGCATGCAACAGGGTTAAATGACTAATGTAATGATAAAGCATGCCTGAAGGGGACAGTTAAGTTGCAGGTCATATCTTCATCTATGGTGCAGATAAGACTAGAGGCTAAATAAGACTGAATCTACACCCAGATGATGTACCAGTATAGCTAGTTCAGTTATGGTACATTTTTGTTAATGATATGGTTAGAGCAGCAGAAACTCTAGGGTGGATCCAGCATGTCAAGTGAAGGTGCCACAGACCAGTACAGTGCATTCCCTCCTCTGGGAGAATAGCAATACCAAAGATAAGGACTTAGGGCCTGATCTACACTTAAAAACATTGCCAGCACAACTACATGGGGTAGGAGCAGGAAAAAAAATCACCCCCAACTTCCATTGCTTTACCAAGAAAAACCCTAATATGGACAGAAATTCTACCAGGAAAGAGATAAAACCTATGTTTTTGCTGAGATAGCTTAGTTTAGACATGGAACCAATCAAAATTACACTGGGAAAAGAACCCCTTCTCCTGGTACAATCTGTCTCTCAGATGGGAGCTGTGTGTTTTGTAAATGTAGAGGAGCCTGAGTTGCGTATGGGTAAGTGAGGGTCCCCAGCAAGGAAAAGGCTGGGTATTGACCAAAGCTGTTTTCAGCTTGCCCCTTGAAGCTGGTGCTTGAATGCATCGTGCATTTTACATTCATTGAATAAAATGAACTGAAGTTTCTGCCAATGGTAGAACCCTTCCATATGCTCTTATGTGGTCCCTTATATATCCTTTTCTTGGTTATGGCCAACTGCAAAAAAAGGGCTGGATGATGCCTTACCCATGGTACCATGCTACCTGCTCCCCCCACTCCTCCCTGCACCACCACTCCAAGGTCCAGAGCCCCTAGAACTCTGGTTTCCTGCTCCCTGTATAAATGCTTGCTTCCCCTCTGCCCCTTATGGCTATAGGTTTTGCCAGACAAAAAATTCAGAACTTACATGCATAAGCTGGTGCTCCTATCTCACTCTGCAGCTGACCAGCCAGACGGCAGCCTACTGAGCATACCCAGGCCTGTGTGTAGAGCTTAATCTTTTGGTCTTGTGGACCAGATGAGTGGCATGGGCCAGACTGGGTCTCCACATACCAGGATCAAGCCCTGGGCCCCACATCCATCCCTCACCTGGCCCTATGCATCAGAATCAGGCCCTGAAGCCCCATGACACCCCTGCCTGGCCACATGTGCCAGGCCTTGTGCTGCCCTGCACACCCAATCTTGCATAAAAGGCCATGCTATTCCGCCCACAGTGCTTTCTATAGGTATGGAGATCTGCTTATACATGTAAGTCCTGAAATTTGAGCCTGGAGAAACCTATAATCACAATGGAGGGCAGGCGGGGGGGCACTTGTACAGGAAGCAGGAAACCAGGGTTCCTGATCCTCTGTACCTTGGAGTGAGGGAGGTATTGAACCTGTAGCTTTTGCTTCCTCACACAGTACTTTAACCATCACACCCCAGATAAGGCATTACCCAGCCCTTGCTACCACCCTCCTGCTGCCAAATTTCTGGACCCATGAACAGCCCCACAGGCCTCATAACATGATGCCAGGGGACAAATGTGGCCTCCAAGCAAGCGATTCAGCACCCTTGTCCTTGAAAACTTAGGGAGGAGGAAGTAATTAAACCTCTGCCAAAATTTCCCCTTTTTCCTATTTCAAAGGGGAAGTTTTATTTTGAAATGTACTTGAATTTGGTGCAGGGGAAGCAGCAAAATTCCCGAGAACAAAACAAAATGTTTCCATGTCAAATGAAACATTTTAGTCAGCCCCTAACACATTTCTATTTTATTGGGAAAAAGCAACAGCAAAGATGATTTTTATGGATCCAAAGAAAAGTCTATCTGCTTTCATTTTTCATTCAGGCAGAAACTGGAAAAAAAAATCAGCCACACAGCTCTACTCTTACAAGTCTGCCTAATGGCAGTGTTTGCACATTGCTAGAATGTCTAGGTGATACATAATTACAGAGTAACCCACTCTCAACCCACTCTCTTATTGGGGCAGACAGGATTATGTCATAATATGACATAGGCACTCAATTGACTGAAGTCAGCAACAGCCTTGCTTGATGTTCCTTTTAGGGCTCTGCACAGGGTAAGCTGGTGTTAGATCCAGGCTGTGAGGCACACACACTTAAGCATTTTGAATCTCAGCAACAGGGAAAAATACCATGACCAAGGTAATACAATTAAAATGGCTTTGCGTAGTGGAGGGTGCACTAT